GCTAGTATGAGGAATAATGGAGCCATAGCAAGCTGAAGCTCAGCTGGTTTTGGCATATCTTTTCGTGATTTTCTGCCTGTTTGATGGCAGTGTTCATGCAGTGGCATAAATCACTCTGCCCAAGCTGTGCCTCAGCTTACTCAGGGAACATTGTTTACATGTACCTGGGAGCAGTATTCAGAGGAGGAGGGGTAGCAGCATTGTAAATCACATCAGGGAACAGAATGACTGAAGCAAGAAGCTGCAGATGCCATGGGGAGGAGTAGATAAACAGATGACAAGGTGGCTAGCATTGGCTGAGGGCTGGTAGAGGTCATGCTAGGATTTGGGATTGACAAGGCAGGGGAGAAGGAGTTGGATTAGGATGGAATACTTTGATTTGGTATGGAGAAGGTGGTCTGGGGACTACTGGAGCAATTCAAGATGGCTGAATGAGTATATTTTCCAAGAAAAAAAGCAAGGAAGATCAGCGTTGGATGAGAGGAGCAAAGAAATAGCTAAATTTATCAAGACAAAAATTAATATGGGCTTGGTCAATATGCTACTTTTTTCTTCTCATGTCTCTCTGACGTTTGCAGCTACTAGGTCGGAGTACAGGTTGTCAGCCACATACTCTTCTGCCTTTCCAGCTGAATGATAGTCTTCATAGCTTCACAGTAAATCATGCTTCATTTCTGCCCCTAAACTCAAGCCTATTCTATTAGGCAATTGCCAGTGATTGCCTTTTCCCAGAACATCTCAGTTTTTAAACTTCCTGGTCTGTACTGCTTCTCTTTCTAGTCTGCCTTTATCCATACTCTTCTTTCTTAATTCCATTTTTTTGCTTATGAATCCATTATTTGTAGCTGTCCTTACATACATGGGCATGTTCCTCCTACACAGAACTCCCTTGTCATCTTTTCCCAAAGAAACCTTGGGATTGCTGCTGTCAGCGCCAAGAAATGCCTTCTTTACGCAGGGCACTGCTCAAGCAGCATCCTGCACGGGGTACTCAGTCTGCAACTTAGGGTGCAATGCTACATTTGATTGAGTAGCAGATGGGAAAGGGGTGCAGGGTCAGGCTCCAAGCACTTTAGACTGGTGTGTCTATCAAAACATACTTTTCCTTCCCTCCTACCCTAAGGATCGTTCAGCTACTGCAAATGTGTCTTGCTAGTACCTTCAGCACACAATATTCTTAATTCTGAGCAAAGTTGTAGCCCCTGTGACTTTGGTTTTGTCATAAGATTTCAAAACTTCTGTGTCCAAATAAATGAACTTTTTCCCACAATTCTTTCCTCTCACCCCTACCAGAATGTTTTTGCATATGATATTTAGGGACAGTATTAAACACAAGTGAAATAGATTAAGAAATGAATGTAAAAGAATCAATTCTCTTGAACTGTGGTTGCATAATGGAAATCGACTGCTATGAATGAACCTCTATGTTCAGAAGTTATGAACAGCAGAGCTAATGCACTGCCATGAGTTCATCTTTATTATTGCATTACACCTGAATCAATTGATAAAGTAGCTTTTTTTTAAAGCGAGGAATGGCACTTAATTGAATAAAAGTCAATGTAATTATATTAGGAGAATCCAACAGTACTGCTGACAGCGGAAAAGGGACACTACTGAGCAGAGTGCCAGAACTGGTCCACACATTTCTGCACATCGTTTGCCTGACAGATATTATGGGCTGGTACATACTTTAACTAGATTACTGATTGCCACTGCTCTAAGTGAGAATTGAATAAAGGAGGCATCTCTTCTTATCAGAGCATCAGTAGGGTTTGCATCCTTACACTGGTCTTTCTCAGAGTGGCCTCTGTCCATCTGGGGCTCAGCGGTCCCCCTTTAACATGGTAGTTTATTCTTATCTCTTCATTCAGTGGATGCTGAAGTTATTTTCACTGCATGCCTGGCTGCCATTTTTCTCAGCAGCAAACCAAGAAAATAGTAAGTGCAAATGCATGGAAACTACAGTTACAGTTATCCTGACTAGTTTGTACACTGCAGCAAATTCCCATACCAGGGGAGTGAGGAGGGGAGAGAGGGGGAGAAATCATAAGAAGTAAACACATGAGCACATGAGTAGTTCTTAGTTAAGCGCTATGATGATAAGCACAAATGTGCTTTTATGGTCATGTAATAACACTGGTCAGTGTGGACAGGCCTTCACAGTAAGCGTTTCCTGTACTGCACTTAGCAACTTTATGTGGAGTTGTATGCCATCTGACACCAGGAAGGCAAGGTACTGTCAGTACTACTGTTTATCATTCATGTATGTGCACACTGCATGCATCTGTTCAGAACTCATTTGTGGATGATAATGGGATGCTGTGAATATGCTTTGATTAATTTGCTTTATGTTTTTCATATTGTGTGGTTGAGTCAGTATCCGTCAGGACAACAGTATAAGTGAGATTACAGCTGACAAAAACCAGTTTCACAGTCAAGACTTTTTTTAAAGTCTGTATTTTATTGGTTTCAGATATTATTTTCTTTTGTCTTTTTTTAAAACCAGATATGTCTGGATTGGAATGTGAATTTGTTCTCTCTCTCTCTCCTCCCCCTCCCCCTTTCTTTCTCTTTTCTCCTCTCTTTTCTCTCTCTCTCTCTCTCTTTTGTGATCTCAATTTAGCAAAAGATTAGAAAGCTGATCTTATCACAAGGTAAGCTCAGCCTTCCTAAGTGCAGTGTGGGGATATGCATAATTACACTTCTGCGCCTCAAAAAAGCAGTGATGCTATACTTGCTTGTGTGAAAGGAGTATTTCCCATGTGGGAGAAAAACAAGGAATACTCTCCACTTTTTTCCACCCTTGCCCATACCTCTCAACTGTCTCTCATTAGGAGAGAAATTTTCCATTCTGGACCCCCCCTTACTGGAATAATTGCATCCCAAGCAGACATGATTCAATTAAACTGCAGTTTAGTATCAGTTTTATGTCAGAGAACAGTTACCTGCATGTGCAGGTGAGTGGGACGGATCGCTTCTATTGGTGTTTTCTTTATTTATTCCCATAAGTTATGTGCAACAGATAGATGAATTGTGAAGTAAGTGATAGAAAATTACAGAAATTAACTGCACATCAATTTAATATTCCTACATTTGCATTTTCCTTCTTTATCTGCATTGTATTGCTGTACCATGTTTGGGACTTCAGCTGGTTGAGAGGTATGTTTGAAAGGGTTTCTTAAAGTAAAAGCTTCCAATAAGGAAATACTGCTAATAGCTATTGTTCCCCTTCTTCTTTTTTGTTACTGTAGGACCTGAATGTCTGTAAAATATATGATCATTGTTATGTCTTCCCATGCCAGTTTTATACCTAGTGCTTTTTTGCATATTAAAGTATTCCTATGTTAAAACTCTCTCTTTCTCTCTCTCCCCCACCCCCCCCACCCCCCCCAC